TACAGCCACATTGGGGACCAAGCCTGTGACACACCAAGCCTTGGAAGGTGGATCCTATCCACACCATAGCAGTTACACTCTCAGATCCCAACAGGGGGGGCTTGCCGTGTGCCAAGAGGCACCAAGACTGGTCAGGAGGCAGAGGGAACAGTAGGAAAGAGTGAACGAGAGCCTGTACTGTGGGTTCTTTGGGAAGGACTGGTCACTGGTCACGGCAGAGGCAGCAGGTTCAGGACTGACTGGTTTGAATGTGTTCAGTATACTCTGAGACATAAAGGCTGTCTCTGACTGTGTAGGGCCTGGCCCTAGAGTGATTCGGACAGGTGGACAGTGGCTGGGAGAGCTGCATAAAGGAGGTGGTTGGGATTGTGGGCTCTGGATGGGATGGCTTCAGTAGGAAAGACACCCTCAAAGGCACATGCCATTTAGTGTCTCTAGGAGTTGGCTGGCCCTGTGAGAGGCAACCTATCCCAGGTCAGTAAGGCCCCAAGATGTCAAAGCATCAGAAATACAGAATAAAAACACATGATTAATACACAGTAGTAAAGATGCAACGATCACTGTGCCTTCTGATGCTTCCTGCCGAGTCTCTGTACTGAGTAGGAGTTGGATGCTAAGAGGAGAGTCTCTCTTGGACATACCAACCTTTGGGTATGGTAGCTTGGGGCCGTGTTTGGTGCAATAATTGAGAAATTGTTCTCTTGCTCATGTTGTGGACAGAACAGATTCGTGACACCTCTTTTCTATGTCTGGATCTATTCAGCTACCTCTGTTAGTCTATAAAAGTAAATCACAATTTGTGTTTCCCATCTCCTCTTCAGAGTGTCTTGTATCTTGGCTTAGAATTTCAGACTGGAGATCCATGGAAACAGTTTTTGCATGTTTGCTGGTTTATGTGTATTTGTTTGGATATTCTGGTTGCTACAGTTGCCTCCTAGAACTTAGGTTGCGTTCTGCATTCACTGTAGCCTGCAATTTTTTGTTCTGAATATCAGGGAGATGCCCCGGCTGCTTGTCTGAGCTGCATGTTTGTTAGGGAATTGGATTCCTGATTTTTCTGTTTGGTTCTATTGATTCATTAGATGTTAGATGTTTAAAAGTTGTTTTCAGAAATTCACCTTTATTTTCTATGTTTCTAATCCTTGTATTTTAATGTTAGCCTCTTAGCTTTCAGTGGCCCAAAGTTTAGTAATTCCTTAATTACCTACTTAAATTTATGACTTTCATTATTTGAACCAATACTTTTGCCATTATGAGTATTTTCCTTTGTGGTTACTCATTTTCCCAAATTTTAAAAGTCTTCTCAAGGTTTAATTTACATACTGTTAGATTAACTCATTCTGAGTACACAACCCAGTGACTGGTTAAATATAAAGTTGTGCAACCATCACCACAATCCAGTTTTGTAACTGAAAAGTTATATCAGAGATTCCCATATGTGGGATTTTTCCTGCCCTGTATTTTAATAATTCAATAATATATTAGAGGAGTGATCCTTACATTATAGAGCAAATCTTCTTATTTTAAACCAGTCCTTACCGGGAACAGACATTTGGTCTAGTGGATAAGATGTCTGTGTCTCACAGTGGGCTTCCTGAGTTTGATTCCTGGTTCTGGCTCCTGACTGCAGCTTCCTGCTAAGGCACACCCTGGGAAGCAGCAGGCGATGTCTCACGTACCTGGGATCCCGCCATTCACTCGGAAGACCTGGACTGAGTTCTGGGCTCCTGGTTTTTTGACTTGCCCAGTCCTGGCTGTAGTGGGCATGTGGGAAGTCAACCAACAGATGGAAGATCTCTTTTCTATCTGTGGTTCTGTCTCTCTCTTTCTCTCTCTGTCTTTCTGACTCTGCCTTTCAAATAAATAAAAATAATAAGTAATATTTTAAGAGTTAGAAAAAAAAGATTCATGCAGAGTGTTTTCATAAAGCACATTTTTCCATTAGCTCTTTGTAGAGCCCTCCTATTCATGGATTTCAACATTTCCTGCACCAAAGTAACTTGCCTTTTAATTCCATTTCCCATGAACTTTTGAAGTCCTTCCATGCTTTTTAAAGATTTTATTTACTTGAGAGGTAGAGTTACAGACAGAGAGGAGAGACAGAGAGAGAGAGGTCTTCCATCCGCTGGTTCACTCCCCAAATGGCCACAACAGCCGGAGCTGTGCCCACCCATCTGAAGCCAGGAGCTTCTTCCAGGTCTCCCAAGGACTTGGGCCCAAGGACTTGGGCCGTGTTCCACTGCTTTCCCAGGCCACAGCAGAGAGCTGGCTCGGAAGAGGAGCAGCCGGGACTAGAACCAGCACTCAGATGGGATGCTCGTGCCGCAGGCAGAGGATTAGCCTACTGCGCATCAGCGCCGGCCCCAAGCCCAATTAATTTTTAAAGAAAATCTGGATGCATCAAAGAAGTGGCGTGCTTGGGCCAGGCAGCTTCAAGTCCTGCCCTCGGAGTCCCCGGTGCTCCTCCTTTGCCACAAGGTGTGTTTCCATGGAAACGTCTGAGAAGCCAGGGTGTGTGAAAGAGCTTAGTGTGGACTGCATGCTGCACTGCCTCATTTAATGTGCCACTCCTGTTTTATGGAGCGTGCGGCTGGGATTCCCTGGCACGTACGTGATGCCTCCTCCTGGATGTGGCTAACGTGGGACTCATCTCCCTGCTCCAAAGCTCCAAGGTTCTCTCCCGCTGTCTCCTGACTGTCATGGGCAGCACTTTTCATTCAGCGATGCAGGTGTCAGTCGGGACCCTCTCCTTCCTGCACGTCCCTTGTCCACTCCTCAACTTCAAGTGCTGTCAACGTTGCCATCCTCACCCGTCTTGATCATGCCTTTGTTCCTGTTCCCAGCACCCATGATCCCCTGCTTAGACTTCTGTTATCACCTCCATCCGGTTGGCCTCCATTCTCCACACTAAAATGGACCTTCAGCTTTCAGATCCTCAAATCTGATGATTTCTGCCCATTGCTCTTAGAATAACATGGCCCAAGAGGCCTGCATGGCCCAAACCCTAGTTCCTCCAGCCTCATCTGGGACAGTCTCCACCTGGTACTGGTGGCTGCTGCCACCCCAGCTTCTCTTCTGTCCTGCTGCTCCTCCTCGGCACCCTGGTCCCTCCCCAGTGCCCGTGGCCCAGCCTGCCCCCTCTGGAGTGCTTCCATGCCCCTACTCAACAGCCCTTTGTAGAGGGAAGATGCATTCGGCTTTCCAATGGCAGCTCCAGGGTCTCATCTTCAGAAAGGCCTCTTCTAATACCCCAGAAGGGGCCATCATTTCTCTTGCAGTCTGGCAGGATCACGTTCCTTTCCTTGAAGAGGACTTACCTCGAGGTGTGCACGTGGGTGACAGTCTGAATCTCGCAGATGTCTGTAAGCTCTGGGAAGGGATGAACAGTCCGTCAGCCACCATCCTCTGCGGCCCTTGCAGGTGCTTGTCTTTCGCAAGTGGCTCCCTCATAGCTGCGTGAGTGCAGTGAGCCAGCTGGGGTCCAGATGGCCCACAGGTGGCCTGAGAACATCCATATTCTACTCACAGCTCGGGATCCTGGACCGTCGAGGGCAGGCTCTATCCTCACTGCAGATGTTGCCAACCAGGCCCATGCACTTTAATCTATGGTTTTGATAGCCCTTGGGGCCCTTATTTTGCTAAAACATACAGGATGGCAAAGCACCTCTTGATAGGCAGATGGCTTCACGTCACCCCCAAGATCTAGACCAGACTCCTAGCTTCCTACCCCTGCTTCACCTTACCTACACAGTCTTCTCCACTGGGGGGCTCAGTGCACCTTTTCTAGCCACACTGAACTTTCCCACGCAGGGGCTGGCGGGAGGCAGAGGTGCATGTACTAACAGCTGGCCTGTTCCTCCCATGGAGCCTGAGAGAGGCAGGCCTTGGGGGGCTGTTTCATGGACATCACCCCCTAGGTAGCCTGAGTATTCAGCCCCTGGGGGCCCTGGAATACCAATCCAGAACGCCTTTCAGGAGACACAGGGGTAGTTCAAAAAGTTTGTAGAAGATGAAATTAAAGGATACATTTCTTTTGGTACAAAAGGTTTGAAAAACGTTTTTTATAATATGCAATTTCCCTGATTTTTTAAGATCCCTTCCATATAAGATTTTCACCCCCAAAACATTTTTGTACCCAAATAAGCATATATTTTCAATGAACTTTGAGAAATGCCTTCATGTTTTCATACCATTTTCTTTTTTCTTTAAGATTTGTTTATTTATGTATTTATTTATTTAAAAGACCGAAAGAGAGGGAGAGAGAAAGCATAGCGGGTGAATTTTTCCATCTGCTGATTTATTCTCCAAACAGCTGTGGCTGCAAGGGCTTGGCCAGGCTGAAGCTAGGAACCCAGAACTCTATCCAGGGCTCTGTTATGGGTGGCAGGGCCCAAGCACCTGGGCCCCTCTCAGCTGCCTTCTCAGGTGCATGAGCAGGGAGCTGGATCGGAAGCGGAGCAGCTGGGACTTGAACCACTGGCTCATAGGGGTGCCAGCTTCGCATGCTGCGGCTTAACCCGCAGAGTGCCGGCCCCTACTGTTTTCTTTGTGGTTGGGAAGCCAGAGAGTCCTCAGTGAAGTGTGGTTTCTAGGAACCGGATCGTGGACACGCTGCTGCCACCTGTAAGCAGTGTCTCAGGACACGGAGGTTAGAGCAGAGCAGAGGGCTCTGGCCTGGAATCCTGGCTCCTTGTACTCATAGCAGTGTGATTTTACACTATAGTTTTCTCCAACCATAAATCAAGGCTGAATAGAATTTGATGAAAATGTCTACCTCATAGGTAATTCAAAGATTGTTTTGAAGATTAAAGGAAATCGTGTGATGAAAAGACTTATCATAATATCAAAGAGGATTAACTGCTCTGTATCATTCGCTGCCATTAGCAAACCTCATTCCAGAGGTTTCCTGGGCATTACGGTGCCATGCATGTTAACACAGCACCCTTTAAAAAACAGCACTGTTAGCTAAGCACGCCCTTCTCTTTGTCTTCTGCTTGCAGCCCTGGAAAGGAAGATATCAATGAGGCAAAGCAGAGAGGAGCTGATAAAGCGAGGAGTCCTGAAGGAAATCTATGATAAAGGTAAGGAACCCAGGTCCCCTGTCTGTGGGCCTGAGAGCCGTGCGGGGAATCTGTGGGCTTATTTCTCATGGCTGCATTTGGTTCTCTGCATCATTTTCCAGGACTGGCACCTTTTAGACTCCAGACAATTCTGGAGAGCAAAAAGGATATAACAGAGAGGGGTAAAACTCAGTGTTGTATGTAAGGGGGCTGGAAAGCTCCCCTGGGCACCCCCCAGGATGCTAAGAAACATGGCGTAGCTCCAGGAGGACGTCGGCAGCAGCTGTAGGTAGTGGGTGCAGGAGGACACCCAGTGTAAGGATCTCATAGCTTCGGCTCTTCCAGGCAATAGGCGATCTCAGGACAAATGCTTGACTCCACAGGCATCTGGGGTTTCCGTAACAGGTGCCCGTCCATCCATCCGTCCATCCTTCCTTCCTTCATGCAATCTGTCTCCCCACAATAGAAGAAAGTGAAGTTGAAAAAATTAAAATGCACAACTGTACACACGAGCTGTTTTTAGCGGCACTACTTGTGGCAGCTCGGGTCTCTGTGGCTGCAGGTGTTCGCTGAGGGATACCACCAGGATACCGGACGTCTTTTGCTCTTCAAATACTCGTGTATGCAGTGGCCAGCACAGTGCATTGGGTATTCTTCACGGCTCTTCCGTAAGAGCTTTCCCACTTTTTGTAATAAATATTTATTTGGGAGAGGAGAGAGAGCTCCCATCCCCTGATTCCCTCCCCCAATGCCAGGAAGGGCCAGGGCTAGGCCAAGTCCAGAGCCGGGAATTGGAAACTCATTCTAGGGCAGCAGGAACCCAAGGACTAGGAGCATCACTCTGCTTCCCAGGACCTGCACTGGCAGGAAACTGGGGGCCAGAGTCCAAGGCAGAGATGGAATGCAGGTATCCTGACGCAGGGCGTGGCTCTCGTAACCTAGTCCAAGGCCAGAGGACCGCCTTGAGCTTTGCTTTAGGCAGTGGCTTTTACACACGCGCTGTCCACTCCCTGCTCTCTCCTCGCTCCTCCCTGCTCTTTCTCCCACGCTCAGGCTGCACTCTCCCTGGTAAAGCTTTAAGTGAGAGAACAGACTGTCGCTTCCAATCGTGTGCTCATCTCTAGGAATTGTCTATCAGGTCTTCTCATATTGTTCCTGGCTGAGGCGACTTAGCCAGATGATTAAATCATGGAATATTCTGGATCCTCCAGCTGCTGTGACTGGCAAGCAGTCTGTTCGCCTTGTTTCTGAAGGTCCTCTCCATGCCGTGCTGGGGTCCTCGTATAAAGGCGGTGCATGCTTCTAGTTGTGGGGAGCAATCCGGACTAGACTAAGTTACTCGAATTAAGACTTATTCTATGCATCTGCTCTCCCACAATGTGGCGCTGGGAGAGAAGTAAACAGCTTCCGCACAGCTGCCTCCAGTTCAACCAATTAACTGTAGGACTTGCTCCTGATTGGAGAGCAGCGTGCTCGGCGTGTGGGCAGCCGAGTTGGGATTGGCGGAGGAGGACTATAAAGGAGGAGAGAGACGGCATGCACCAGGAACATCTATGGGGAACATCTAAGGGAACCCGTGCAGCCCCCGAGAAAGCCGGCCGGCGATGTGCCGCTCCCCTGCGGAAGTGGGGAATGTGGCTAGGGGGAACTGCCCTTCCACGGAGGTGGAAGGGATAGTAGCCAACCCGGGAAGAACCAGCAGCAAACCCGGGGAGGGCCGAGCAGACGAAAGAACAGCGCAGGGTCCTGTGTTGCTCCTCCACGAAGAGGGGGAGCGACACTAGTCCTGGGGCGTCCCTCTGACCCCACTGGTGTTTTCACTGTTACTTTCTTGTTTTGTTTTAACATTTTATTTATTTGAAAGGAAGAGTTACAGAGAGAGACAGAGAGAGAGAGAGGTCTTCCATCTGCTGGTTCACTCCCCAAATGGCCACAACAGCCAGGGCCTGGCCAGGTCTCCCACGTGGGTGCAGAGGCCCATGGACCTAAGACCATCATCTGCTGCTTTTCTCAGGTGCATCAGCAGGGAGCTGGATTGGAAGCGGAGCAGCCAGGACTCGAACCAACACCCATAAGGGATGCAGGTGCTGCTGGTAGCAGCTTAGCCCACTGCACCACAGCGCCAGCCCTGACCCACTGTTTTGTGAGCTGCTCCATGTCCCTTTGCTGCATCTCACCTCACACGTTCCTACCGTGGTTTTTTTTTTATTTTTTTTTTTTTTATTTTATTTTTTTTTTTTTTTGACATGCAGAGCGGACAGTGAGAGAGAGAGAGACAGAGAGAAAGGTCTTCCTTTTGCCATTGGTTCACCCTCCAATGGCTGCTGTGGCTGGCGCATCGCACTGATCCGAAGCCAGGAGCCAGGTGCTTCTCCTGGTGTCCCATGCGGGTGCAGGGCTCAAGGACTTGGGCCATCCTCCACTGCACTCCCGGGCCACAGCAGAGAGCTGGCCTGGAAGAGGGGCAACCAGGACAGAATCTGGTGCCCCAACCAGGACTAGAACCCGGTATGCCGGCACCACAGGCAGAGGATTAGCCTATTGAGCCACAGCGCTGGCCCCTAGCATTTTTTAAGTATTTTCTTGTAGCACACCTTGCCAGGCTGCAGTGAAAGTGGGAAGTGTCTGAGCTCTTGCCCTGTGCTGGTGGCTCAGGATCCTGGAGGCGGGCTGTGGAGCTGGACTGTGAACTCTGACCTCCTGGGGCAGGGATGCCCTAGGGGGCGCCACTTCATCTGTCTCGCTCTGGGAAGGGCCAGGCCAGGGTGTGACTTCTTTGGTTGCTGACGCTGCCCATGGGGAAAAGAATCCATAATTTTATCCCTTTTCTCCAAGGCTGGCTGTCTGCACCCCCTACCCCAACCCTCCCTTTTTAGCGACCCGAAGCTGCCGTGCCTCATGCTGAGCTCCTTTCTCCATATTCCTTCCCTGTAGAGACAGGTGGTGTCTGACAACGGGAATCAGCTAGAGACCCCAGTGCTTCAGTAAATGTCTGGGCAAATGCCAGTTGTCAGTGTCCTTTTTTCTGCAACCTTTATACCTGTCTGCTTCGTAAGCTTCAGGAACAATCCCCAGGGGAGCAGGCACTTCACCGTAACATGCGTTCTGTCCAGCTGCTTCCAGTAACAGAGTGAGGGGCTTCCTGGGCTCACCAGAGAAGTCGCAGGGTGTTAAAGTGAAAGCCTTGTTGTAGGAGGAAAGGCACAGAGGCTGGTCCCTGAGAGCACAAGACGTGGCTGTTGGCAGGCATGGAGCTGACACGGGACGTGCACGCAACAGCTGTCGACGAGGGGACACTCATTTCCCGCCAGTCTCCTGTCTTATTTTCATCTTTGCATGTCTCCCTGGCTCTGCCCCTTCCTGTCTGTTTGTTAACTGACTGCAGATGTGCAGGGGCCTCACAGGCTGTCTGCTCATTCCTGCAAGCCTCGGAAATCCGGTCTGGTGTAGACTCGACGCTTGAGAATGTTCGCTGTCTGCATGAGAGCAAGAGCGAAGGAGAACAGGGACGGACATCAGAGCTCTGTGGCACGTGGCGGGTGTACAGCTTTGGGTGTGCCATGGGGTTTTCTGATAAGAGCAGCCTTTCTGTGTCACTGTGGACATTTATCTCGTGACTCTTTTTTCCCTAGAGAATGAGTTTTGTCATTAATTAAGGAAGCACCTAAGAAAAGCAATGGAGTTAGACAATTAGGCATAACTAAAACTTACGAGACATAAGAATGTCCTCCACTTAATACACTAAAATAAAATAAATCTTTGAGAACAAGTTTTACTGTTAGCTCTCATAATACAATTCTTGGAGGACAGAGGTCCTGCTTGGGAAGTTAGTACACAGTGATTCCTGTTGTTAATTTGACAATTAACTCTCTTATATATGATGTCAGTGATCACCCGAGGGTCTTGACATGAGCAAAGGCCATAAGCAAAGTGGAAGTTCTCTCCTCCCTTCAGAGAAAAGTTCCTCCTTCTTTGATGATCCCTTCTTTCCACTGGGGTCTCATTCACAGAGGCCCTTCATGTAGGACATTTTTGCCACAGTGTCTTGATTCTCCATGCCTGAAATGCTCTCATAGGCTTTTCAGCCAGACCAGAATGCCTGAAGGGCTGATTCTTCAGTCAGAGTGCTACTTAAAGCAATTGTCATTCTGTGAGTCTGCTGTGTGGACTGCTTCCCATGTTGGAGCATTCACTCATTTTAATTCTATTTATTATTATTACCAAACATTTAATCCTATTCATATGATCACTTTAACACTTGATTCTATCCATATGATCTCTGTAACATTTAGAATGCTATTTTTATCACCCAGGTTAAGGAGATTTGGAGTCCCATGTCAAGTTTTTAAACTGTACCCTTAGAAGTAAGTCCATAAGAATGTATGCAGTTACAAACTTCATACACTTCATAATTACAACTTTAGAAACATGGTAATTCTTCCCACTGTCTCCCACCCATACTTCTATCTCTCTTCCTCTTGCCTCTCTTATTCCCACTCTTATTTTTTACTAAGATCTGTTTTCAATTGATTTTTTAAAGATTTATTTATTTATTTGAAAGGCAGAATTACAAAGAGGCAGAGGCAGAGGAAGAAAGAAAGAGAGGAGGTCTTCCATCTGCTGATTCAATCCCCGGATGGCTGCAACAGCTGGAGCTGTGCTGATCCAAAGCCAGGAGCCAGGAGCCAGGAGCCAGGAGCTTCCTCCAGGTCTCCTCTGTGGGTGCAGGGGCCCAAGGACTTGGGCCATCTTCTACTGCTTTCCCAGGCCATAGCAGAGAGCTGGATTGGAAGTGGAGAAGCCGGGACTCGAACTAGCATCCATATGGGATGCTGGCACTGCAGGCAGTGGCCTGATCTGATACACCACAGTGCTGGCCCCTTCAATTAACTATATACACATATGATTAACTCTGTGTTAAGTAAAGAGTTCAACAAATAGTATATTAAAAAAACTGCTCCTCAACAGTCAAGGCAAGGGCTGTTCAAGTCATTGCATCTCAAAGTGTCAATTTCACTTCT